TCATTTTGTTTTCCACTCGGGGTCCCCGCAGGCGGCGCCATGGGAAGCGTAGTATTCCCACACCTGTTTTTCAAACTGCACCTTCCGCCTGTCGAGGTCGACCCGTCAGGCTCGTGCACCCCGCGGGCTCGGATAAACTCTCTGACCGAACTGGTTCGATTTTTCGTTATCTTATCTATGGTGTGTCTATTTACCTTCCCATCAGCACCGCCAGTCGTGAGCGGTCGAGAGTTCCGACCTCTCATGGTGAAACAGTCTGCAGTTTCGAGTGTCCGGGGAGGAGGAGGACGACAAGGAGGAGGAGGAGGGAGGGGAGGGAGGAGGAGGAGGAAAGAACGACAACGAGAACGAGTGTAGCCAGTTGACCGGCTCACGAAATGAAGGACAAGCGTCATTATAGTGTTGGGTGTACAAGCAAGGGGAGGGGAGCCTTTTGTTCAAAGCGGCCGCTGTTTCCGAACCACAACACTCCATAAGACATTTGTTTCTCCGAGTGATCGGGGTGGTGGGTTGAGTTGAAGGCCGCAGCGATGGACGGGGAAGGAAACATCCAAACGGAACGGGAGTAATCTTTCTTTGGTTTGGAACGAGTCCAGGGTGGCACAGGAGGAGGAGGAGGAAGAGGAGGAGGAGGAGGAGGAGGAGAGGAGGAGGAGGAGGGGGAGAGGAGGAGGAGGAGGGGAGGGGAGGAGGAGGAGGAGGAGGAAGAGCCCTTTGGCAAACGACCCTTGCTCGCCGCTCTTGGGGAAGAGCCTGGCGGACGGCGCGATCGGACGGCCTGGTTCGGCGCGCCGCCTCCGACGCTAACTCATCTGAGCACCATCCTCCGCACGGTCCAGGATGTGACCCCTGGGAGACGGCAGCCCTGGCGATACGTGCGATTGAGCGAGGAGAGGGAGAGGAGGGAGCAGGAGGAGGAGGGGGGAGGAGAAACGGGGGGAGAGGAGGGGAAGAGGCGGGAAGGAGGAAGGAGAAGAGGGGGGGAAGGAGGAGGGGAGGGGTAGGAGGAAGAGGAGGGGGCGAGGGAGGAAGAGGAGGACGGCCCACGCCAGCCAGCGTCTGCCCAACGCAGAAAGGAAGAATACGAGTAGGAGGTGGAAGACGAGGAGGAGGAGGAGCTGTTTCAGCTGTTTCGCCTCTCGCTCCACGCGAGTCACGAGGAGGGGGAGGAGGAGGAGGAGGAGGAGGAGGAGGAGGAGGAGGAGGAGGAGGAGCCTACTTCCTGTTCAATGCCTTGCACCCTCTCGTGTCAGTGTCAGCGCCTGTGATCCCGCCAAACACGCAATCCAGCGTGCTCAGGGCGGTACGGTTTCAGGTTGCCCGCCCAACGTGCGGTGGCCTGTGCACGTGATGCGGATGAACCCCAGGCGCCCCCCTGCTACGCCCGAGGAGGAGGAGGAGGAGGAGGAGGAGGAGGAGGTGGAGGCCCCCCCCTCCCAGAGAGGACCCGCTCGGGGCCTCGAGCCTGGGGCGGGGGCGCCGGTCCACGGGCAGCGCGCAGCCGCCGCAGGCCGCAGGCGCGCAGGCCGCAGGCGCGCTGCCGCCTGCCTTTGTCGGGGCCCTCTGCCTGCGGGCGGCGCGCGGCGCCCTCGGAGACGACGGGCGACGGCATCGCCGACGAGCGGCGGCGCCGGCGGCGGACGCAGAAGGACGGCCAGGAGGAGGGCGGGGAGCGTCGACGACGACGACCAAGAACGACGAGGGACTGCGGGAGGCGCGAAGACGACGAAGCACGACGACGACGGCGACGGCGGCGAACGACGGCATCGACGGCGAACGACGATCGGAGTAGCGAGGAGAGCGCAACCCACCCCCACCCCCGGCCAGGACCCCCACCAGAGCGTCTTGGCTGGGGGTGTGGGGGAGGGTGGGGGCCCAAAAGCTTACACCAAACAGTTCGACCCCAGCTAGGACGCCCTGGATCACCAGATCGGGAGTGGAGGTCTTGGCCGGGTGTGGATGTGGGTTGCGTGGCTCACAAAGCGGAAGAGCCGGGCCTTCGGTGGTGGTTGGCCTTCGGGGGGGGCCTGCGCCGCTGCGGCGGGGCGGAGCATCCGGAAAGCTGGTGCGTTTGGCGGGGTCCGGGGCCCGATCTCGCGCTGCCGTTGTCTCAACTCGCCCTCCGAGACGAACGACGACGCCGACGGCCGCGCCGACGACGCCGACGACGGCATCGACGCCTGCAACGACGTGGTTTCCGACGGCGCCGACGACGACGAGGAGGACGACGACGACGTGGGCGGCGGTGTCGTCGAGGGCGTCACCGGCCCAGGGCGTCCCCCCCGGCGCTCTACTCCACTGGGGAGCTCCCCGGGGGGTGCTCTCGAGGCCGTGGGGATCTCCTCGGGAAGCCTGGGGGCCGCGCAGGCGACGATGACCACGAACGACGACCACGACCACGACCACGACGACGACGACGACGGCGACGACCACGACCACGACCACGACCACGACCACGGCCCCACTGCGGCCTGGAGACCACCGCGAGTCGAAAAACAGGCGTCGGCGTGCACATGAGCTGTCGGATGCCCGCGCGGGTTTCCCGGGCCCGTGCTGGGCCCCCCCCTGCGCCGCCCGGGGGCGCGCTCTCCGCGCGCCCCCGAGGAGGAGGGGGGAAGGGGGGAGGGTCGGCGCCGATCGTCAAGCAGTGGCGAAGCGTCCCGGCTCGCCTATAGCCCCACCAAACACAGTTCTAAGATTTGTTTGTGGCTCCCACGAGATGTTCTTAGAACGTGTTTGGCTGAGACCGTCTTGTTTTAAAACATCGGGCTTATGTTCTAAGAACATTGTTTTTGTTATTAGAACATTGTCGGATTCTAAGAACATCTCGTGGTATGCCTATAGGAATGCGGGACGGTCGGTCACTGTTCAAAATCGGGGGCATCCGCGCGGGCCTCCGAAGATGTAAGTGTGTGCACATTTGTTGGTTGCTCTGTGGAGGCGCCGCTCCAAGAAGGCAGCGTGGACCCCAAGAAGGTAGCGCTGATCCAAGAGGTCAGCGTGGATCCCTCCAGGGAGGAGGGGGGGGGGCCAGCGCCGATCCCGGACGCCCGCGTGGATCTGTGAAAGTTACTCTGTGTTGCAATGTTTGTCGTTTTCGAGCGGCCGGCGGCTGCCGCGCCACGGGCGGCAGCGGCGACACGGCGACGGCGTGGGCTTTCTGGGCCGCCTCGGAAGCCAAGGGCCAAGGGGCAGCCCTGGAGAGCCCGAGGGAGGCGTCGGGCGGCTCGAGCAGCCTCGAGCCTGGAATCGTTCGGGTTCGTGCATGTCTTTCTCTGAGGGCACCATCGAGAAGCGTCCTGTCCTGGATCCTCTTCCGAGAAAAAAATCGGGTATGGCCAGGACCCTGGGTAAGAGGACCCGGTGAGTCTACCAACGCCCGAAAAAACGCGCGAAGTCAAAGAATGCATTGGTAGTGGACGTCCGAGCGATGGCCAGCGGGAGGGTGGGACGGTGCACGCGCCACTGCGCGGGGCGGCGGGGGGGGGCGGGGGCACGGTGGCGGAGGTCCTCCCCGCTCTTCGTGCGGGCCGGAAGGGTGGGTGACCTTACTTGGGGGGTGATGAGGCGGGTCCATTGATGGTGATGGTGGTGGTGATGATGATGATGATGATGATGATGATGATGATGGTGATGGTGATGGTGGTGATGATGGTGATGCTGATGATGATGATAATGATGATGATGATGATGATGATGATGATTATGATCATGATCATGATCATTTTCATGATCATGATCATGAAAAAGATGATGATCATGGTGATGGTGATGGTGATAATGGTGATGGTGATGGTGATGGTGATGGTGATGGTGATGGTGATGGTGATGGTGATGATGGTATGGTGATGCTGATGATGGTGATGCTGATTATGTTGGTGGTGATGGTGATGGTGATGTTGGTGATGGTGATGGTGATGATGATGATGATGATGATGATGATGATGATGATGGTGATGGTGGTGATGATGATGGTGATGATGATGATGGTGATGGTGATGGTGATGGTGCTGATGCTGATGCTGATGCTGATACTGATGATGATGATGCTGATGATGCTGATGATGATGTTGATGTGATGATGATTATGATTATGATGATGCTGATGATGCTGATGCTGATTATGATTATGATGAGGAGGATGATGCGGATGAGAAAGAGGATGGGGATTAGGATGAGGATGATGCTGACGAGGATGAGGATGAGCATGAGGATGATGATGCTGATGATGATGATGATGCTGATTATGATGATGTCGATGATGATGATGATGGTGATGATGATGATGATCATCATCATCATCAGCATCATCATCATAATCATCATCCGCATCATCATCATCATCATCATCATCATCATCATCATCATCCGCATCATCATCACCATCATCATCATCGTGATCGTCATCGTCATCGTCATCGTCATCACCATCATCTTCATCATGTTCATCATCGTCATCATCAGCATCATCATCACCATCATCATCATCGTCATCGTCATCGTCATCACCATCATCTTCATCATGTTCATCATCGTCATCATCATCATCATCATCATCATCATCATCATCGGCCCTTCTCTTCACCTCCCATCTAGGTCACCCCACATTTCCACGCGTCCGAGTCACCTCCTCTCCTCGGGCTCCTCCTGCGCCTCCTCGTGCTCCGGGTGCCGCGGCTGGTGCTGCCCGACTTCGTCCAGGCTCCTCCATGTCACCCTGTCCGCCCTCCAGTCCGCCCGGGGCGGGCACCACTTCATCCGGGGACTGGAGGAGTGGGCCAAGAGAGGCTGTCACCCACGGGGGGCGGCCGACACAGCATTCCATCATCACCGCAGTGGCACGCACCACCAGCACTCATGCCGAACGTGGTCGAGCGTGTACTTCTCCGTTCCCTCCACGTGCTCTCCCACGGCTACTTGTACCCCCGCCCGTGACCTGGCAAGGTTCGGTGCACCTTGGTGCCGTTGCCGTGGGGCCCCTGCAGCGGAAACCGACCCAGGACACCCTCCCCGCGGGCGGGAGGAGAGGCAGGAGGAGGACGAGGAGAGTAGAGGAGATGGAAGAGGGGAGATAGATGGAGGAGGCAGTGAAGCCGGGGAATACTGCATACACATACATGTTCAGAGGTCTGTGCGAATTTCTTGGATCTGTGCTGGGCCCCCTTTCATGGCGCGCGAAGCGCGCAAGGCCAAGGCACCCTCTCTGACCTTCGTGAGGTCATATTTCTCTCGGGTATAGCCAGGACCCCAGGTAAGGGGACCCGGTCAGTGGTAGGGTCTGGGGGCCCCGAAATTGGCCAGAATCACTAAACCATCGTTTTTCGGGTGACGGCAGACCCGGTTAGCGGAACGGGGCGGGGGGGGCGCCCCCTGGTTCAGATCACTTAACCCGGTTCTACTAAACCCAGTTCTGCCAACGCCCGATTCTCTAAGCTGGAGACAGGATGGAAACACATTTCTTGTTACCTTCGTTTCACGGGAGCAAAGTAATGAGCGCAGCGTCATCTGCAAGTAGCTGTCCTCGGACTCGGCCCTTGGCGTTGCCGATGTCGAGTCGACTCCACCGGACCTTGCTTGGCGGAATAGAGAGGGGGAGGGACGAGGGGCAAGGAGGGTACGTAGGACCGGGAGGAGGCCGAATTCTTTACGCTTCGCGTATCCCCACCAGCCCATCTCACAGCAGCAACTCTCGCGAAGCATGCCGACAGTCGTGTTTTTCAGGCGTGTGTCCGCTTGGCCCCGCATATCTCCCCTGTTCCTCCTTCCTCCCGCCTCCTTGTACATCCTCCTTGTGGGGGGAGCGGGAGAAGGACGAGGCGGAGGAGGAGGGAGAGAAAGCGCTCCTCGTGATTTGAGTCGTTTGGGGTTTCTCGTCCTGGTGTGAGTCGTTCGGGCCCTTCTTCCTGGTGTGAGTCGTTCGGGCTCTTCGTGGTGTGAGTCGTTCGGGCTCTTCGTCCTGGTGTGAGTCGTTCGGGCTTCTCGTGGTGTGAGTTGTTCGGGCCCCTCATCCTGGTGTGAGTCGTTCGGGCCCCTCCTCCTGGTGTGACTCGTTCGGGCTCCTCGTGGTGTGAGTCGTTCGGGGCCCGCGTCGTGGTGTGAGTCCTTCGGGCTCCTCGTGATTTGAGTCGTTCGGGGCTCGTCCTGGTGTGAGTCGTTCGGGCCCTTCTTCCTGGTGTGAGTCGTTCGGGCTCTTCGTGGTGTGAGTCGTTCGGGCCCTCGTCCTGGTGTGAGTCGTTCGGGCTCCTCGTGGGGGGGGCCTCTTGGAGCCTCGTGGGGCCTCTTGGGGGCCTCTTGGGGGCCTCTTGGGGGCCTCTTGGGGGCCTCTTAGGGCCTCGTGGGGCCTCTTGGGGGCCTCTTGGGGGCCTCTTGGGGGCCTCTTGGGGCCTCGTGGGGCCTCGTGGGGGCCTCTTGGGGGCCTCTTGGGGGCCTCTTGGGGCCGCTTGGGGGCCTCTGGGGGGCCTCTTGGAGGCCTCTTGGGAGCCTCCTGAGGGCCTCTTGGAGAGCTGCCCCCTGGGAAGGACAAAATGAGCCCAAAACCTTCGTAAAATCAATGATTTTGCTATGAGGGAAGAGGAACGCGGCCCCCTCAGAAGGCCACAATGGGGCCAAAACCTGCGTAAAATCAATGATTTCTGCTTCAAAGACGAGCAGAGGGGCCAAACTCCGTCCCCCCCCTCGGGGCCAGAATCCTCGTGAGGGTCGTCGTTTTTTGGCCCTCCCAGGAGTCGAAAAAGACCCCTCCAACGACCCGCGGGGCGCCCTCTCCAGGTCCAGGGGGAGGGGGTAGGGGGAGGGGTAAACCCCTCCCCGAAGGGGAAGAAGGGGGGTTGAGGACAGAGCGGGCTCTCTAAACCACTCACGCCCAAAGGGCTGGTGGGATTTATACTGTCGGGAGCCTTGAGACGGGGGTCAATGCAAACGGGGGTCAGCCAGGGCACCAGATCCTGCAGGATCCTGCGAAGACCCCTTCTGGCTGACCCGGGTTAGCGAGCCGCTCGTGGCCGCGAGGCGGCCGCGCATATTGGCTGACCAGGGTTGGCGAAGACCTGGGTTGCATTTTTTTTCCTGCATTGCAGTTTTGGGTTTCCTGCTGACCCGGGTCTGGATTGACCCGGGTCAGAAGATCCCCGATATTGGACCCCGTCGATGTCGTCGAAGTCAGTATTGACGTCAACATCGAATATGGCACTGGTCGTGCAACCGAGCGTAAAGCGTATGACCCTTTCAGACCCCATCAGCTATGGAGTCGAGCATTCTCTCTACTCGATGGTGTCATTATCTCCCTGACAATCGTGCTCATCGTATTGCTCCTCTCCGTCCTTTCTCCTCCCCCCTAGCCTGTCTAGGTTTCAACCTGATACCACGGAGGCCTTGCGAAAGCAGCCTCGCCAGTTCGCTCATCTCTACAGGTCACTATCCGAATCAACCATTCATCAAGAGGGCTGCGCCGTTTGGCCACCCCTCCAGCTCCTAAGTGTGCTCCCCCCCCTGTTGGGCGGAGGGCGAGGCACTCGACTCGGCGCCAGAGGCGGAGGACGCGACGCGCGAGGCGGACTGCGCTAAGCCTGGTCACGAGCGGCTCGGCCACGACTGCCTGCCTGGCCCACGAGTCGGAGCGCCGCGGGATGACGTCGGCAGACGTGCTCTGCAAGAGGTGGGAAGGCAGGACGAAGAACCCCACGGCCACCTTCGGGAGGATCCTGGCGCTGCACCGAGAGGTGGCGCGCTCGCGCTGCCCGAGCCACCAGCAGCGAGCGGCGGCGACAAATGCCGCCAGAGGCTCGGCATCGGCCGACACCGAGCGGGTCGGACGCGCGACTGGAGGGCCGCGATGGTGCCGGATTCAGCCACGCGCTGAAGGGTGATGATGCGACGCGCGGCTTCGCAAGGTGCGTGTTCGATGAGAGTGAGGACGAAAGACCAGGCGGTTGGCGCATGGGATCACACGAGGATCCACCCTTTACGCCACCACCTGGCCTAGTCCCTTTTGAAAAGCTGATTTGATGTGCTCATTAAGAATAAAAAAAGAGTATGAGCCCATCATGAAACTAAACTTTTTCAGGCGCTGCGCCGAGAGGTGGCGCGCTCGCGCGGCCCGAGCCACTTGCGGCGAGCGGCGACAAATGCCGCCGGAGGCTCGGCATCGGCCGACACCGAGCGATGTCGTGCGCGCTCAGAGGGCCGCGAGATGGTGCCAGACCCAGTTACGCGCAGAAGAGGGAGGGGGGAGGGGGGAGGTTTAAGTCAGGCCTGTCCCTCCACAGGAGGAATATTCAAACATAGTCGAAAAATAGTCAGGGGACGATTTTCGACTTAAGGCCCGACTTAAGGGTAGGCTTCTTAGAAGCAACCCTGCTTCTACGAGGGCGCGGGCCTTGTCTGTAGATGAATGGCCGGCGCCTTCCGAGAAGCAGTCTCCCTCAGATAATATCCTCCCCCCCTCCCTCCAACCCCCCTTCCCTCCAACCCCCATTTGTGCGCGCCGACAACAGACGCCAGTCGATCGCAAACATGGTTCAAGGGGGCGTGGATTCCCGATGGGTCCCGTTTCCAGAAAGCATCGCAGATCTCCGCCGCCGAGCGAGGCGGCACCGCACCGGCCGCATTTTGGGGGAGGGCACCTCCCCATGGATTTGGCGACCGCGCGCCAAATCCATGGATCGCTTCGCTGATCCATGTTTGCGCGCCCCCGAAACGAAGAGGACCGTACACGCCGGTCGTTGAAGGAGGCGGAGGCGGAGGCGGAGGAGGAGGAGGAGGAGGAGGAGGAGGAGGAGGAGGAGGAGGAGGAGGAGGAGGAGGGAGGAGGAGGAGGGGGGGGAGGAGGAGGAGGATGTGCTCTGTCGGGGCTCCAGCGACGGGGGTCACTGCAGACGGGGGTCAGCCAGAGCGCCAGATCTTGCAGGATCCTGCAGGGCCAGGGGGGTGTTGGACCCGGGCTGGGGCGCCGGGTCCTGCAGGAGCTCGCGGGATCCTGCAGAACCCGACTGACCCGCCCCCTCTTCCTCCTCCTCCTCCTCCTCCCCCTCCTCCCCCTCCTCCTCCTCCTCGTCCTCGTCCTCCTCCTCCTCCTCCTCCTCCTCCTCCTCCTCCTCCTCCTCTTCCTCGGGTCCGCACTGGCCCCGAAGCTGAAAGGGTCCGCGCGATGCCGGGGAGCACCGCCTCACGCCGCCCCGACAAAGCGAGCCCGCCGCGCGCGGCGGGCGCAGGCGCGGCCGCAGGTCTCCGGCACTGCGGCGTCGGCGTCGTCGCTGGGCCTCCCAGATGGGGTCGCAGCAAATTGTTCATCCGGGCCTGTCCCTCCACAGGACGCCCTCCCTCCGGGACTTCGCCTCCGGCTCCGGTCCAAGTCGTACTTTTTCCTGTGCAAGCTCTTCGGCACCGCCTGCACCCCGCACCCTCCGGCCGCCTGAGGCCCCGCCCGCCCGCGCTCTGTCTCCCCAATTCGTGGTTTGCGCGCCCCGCCTAGCTCTTGACCGGAGGGGGTTTACCAGTTTGAAACATATCCCTATCTCTAAGTTTGATATCATCTGACTTCGATGCCGATCTTGAGGATTCCCCCAGTTTCTGATGGCTTGTCCCTAAGATTGTCCTCGCTTTTTGTTCGCCCATCTTAGGGATAGGGATGCGTTAGAGGCTGGTTAAGGGTCGCAGCAGATTTTTCAGTCGGGCCTGTCCCTCCACAGCAGGGGTCTCCCAACAGAGGCAGCAAATAGTCTGGAGACGGCTATGTTTGCCCATCGTTGGTCATTTTGGGGGCATTTTTGAAGTATCTGTTGTATTTTTCGTCCACATTCCGCCTGTAGGAGGACACGCCCGATTTAACAGTAGATGGGGTCGGAGGATCGCGCCGATGCATCGCCGATGCGGCGCGACGCGGAGCCCGATCATCTCCACGCTGGCGTCGCCGATGCGCCGCCGAAGCCACCGATACATCGGCGATGCTCCGCCGATGTGTCAGCGATGCACTGGCGATGAGGCGCGATCCCCCGACCCCATC